TAAAAGAGTGTGTCATTATCTACTTAATACTTTTCTTGAATAAACATACTTTCTTAAATGGGGCTTCAAATTTAAGTTTAAAAAGGCATGTTCACACATAAATACCAATATAAATAGACCTATTTGTCTATGGGTATACAGAACATATAAATAAAAAACATTGGTCTAATATATCTACAAAAACTGAAATAAATTTAAATGCATATATTTAAACAAAATTGGGCGGCACACATTAAGCACACGGGAATGGCCGATCCAAAACTGAGCCCCGTTGCGCATGCTCGAAGACCAGAGATTCAATCGAATCTCGGGACAGAGTTCGTCTGATAGCAAATCACGATTTAAACGAATGGTGGCGGGCGTTCATTCTTTTCGGAAAAGAAGGTAACCCCATTAACATTGAAAACCCAAAACAAATATGTTCGCCCCTTGTACACAAACGAAATCTATTCTAACGGACATTCAAATGCATATATCAGACAGGTACAGTTTCTTGATAGTTTATGATAAAGGACCATCTAGGATTGTTGTATATATAGATGTAGTGTCATAACTGTAAAGAGTTCTCCAGATTTATTTTTAGCTCAGGGCACCCTACCCTTGTACATTTTTTTTTCTGCAAGTAGACCATGACCTTTTACCAGGAGGAGATTGAAACATATTTGATGAACTTTTAGGCTGCTCCGACTTGCAAACATGGAATATCGCAATCGGCTGAATGCTGAACACCAAAATCTAAAAGATCAAAAGCCGCTGAAGAATGCTTACAACCTGCATCGGGATGTTTTATAAATAGTTCATAAAGAAAATGCCGTGCTGAAACGGTGTAAACGGGAGAAATTGTCGTTTGAAAAAGCAACTAGAGTGCCCCACAATTTTTATAAGTGACCTAGACTGACCCATGACCCACCTACAGTGCCCTATAAGTCTTATGCTGGACCTATTGTGATCCATGGCCATCCTAGAGTGTCCCACTTTATTTATGCGTCGCCTAGCGTTACCCATTACCGACGTAGAGTGTCCACCATTTTCATGCGTGACCTACAGTTCCCCACAATTTATATACGTGGCTTAGCCTGAGCCATGACCCAGTTTTTTTTTACGGAAATTAGTGTTGTTTTATTCCCCGATATTTAGTGATTTTTCGGTATTTTGGGTTGTTTGGATTTTATCGGTAATTAGTTTTCAAAAAAGTTTTTTGGGTGTTTTTTCTGCTAATGTTACCTTGATACAGATCGGATGGACACCCCGCTCTGGGGTTTCTCCGGGTTTTCCATTGTCCTTACTCTGCTATGGACCCCTACTTACATGCGAATTATTGACTGAAAATTGAACCACATGTTAGTCCCGAAATGACTCTCCGTGAAAACATAAACCACAAACTTCTTCGTATTTTTTCTGAAGGTGGTCTCCAATGAAAGAATATCTGTACCCAAAATAATCCTTGGAAATAATATATTGTATAAGTTTTAATTTATGGCGTTGGGTAAATTGTGTAAAATATTGTCTGTAAATAGATCTTCATTACAAAGCGAACAATAGTAAATGGCAAGGGCATTCAGCAAGAGAATCTCTGTAAAAATACCCACCTGCATGTGTTTATGTGGCCATATATGGTCGGGCTGAATGTGAATCATTTTATTTAATCTTAGTCTTAATAAAGAAATTCAATATATACGACTAATGATTGTTCTTATTGACACCGACCTTCAACATTTACCGAGAATATATACCATTTATACATTTCCCTGTGAAGTAGAAAATTAAAAACTTTTCGCACAATTCTTCTTTTTCATTTCCCATTACAATACTGCTTTATATGATCCGAGTCTATTTCCTGTCTAAAACCTGAAGAGATCCTTCATTTTACTATCTAAAACCTTTCTCAGTCTAAGGAACTCTTTATCATCCATACAATTAGTTCGTTAGACTGAGAAAAATGAAGGATGTACCATTGAATTGTAGGTAATGCTGGCTGGATAGAACGAGTCCATAAATGTGTTCGGCCTGTAATCTTTCCCCCCCTCATTTCGTACTCCAGTCTTCAGTAAAAGAATATGACAGACATGCATTCAAGTCATTATTATTCATTTTCAAAACATCGCTATATGATCAATTGCTGATGAAGACGTGTCGGCACTTCTTCCACGTGTTATTGAGTCAAATAGCCCACCTTGCGCCCACATTTTCATGTGGACGTATTATACCACAGCCCCCTTGTCCGTCAGCACGAGCATCCATTTACATGTGTTTGTGGACACTGCAGATCACAATGTTTATTCGCTTTTGGCGTTTTGTTATACGCTCACAATTTCATGTGAACGTATTATGCTGTCGCTCATGTACGTTCGTCTGGGCACCTGGAAGTCCATTTACATATGTGTGTGGACCCTCGGCGGATCAAAATATGTATCCGATTTTAATGAAACTTATCCCACGCATCTCGGCATGGTGCGATATTGGCACAAATCGAATCATAAATTCTTGGATTATTGCCCCCGATTGTACGAAAATCGTATATTACCTTGTGGACCGTTTAGAGGCCACAATTTTTATCAGAGTCTACAAAACTTTAAAAAAAGAAGTAACTAGTTGTATATTATTTACCACAAGAGATTACGATAGCCAGTGGTGTATTATTTAACATAATATATCACTTAGATATTCAGCAGACGGCCTCATAGTGTGATTTTTATTGAACATCTCCAGTCCCCGACTTTATTTGTGTTTTAGCTTGTCGTCCAATGGATGGGCTCAGTGGACAAACTTTTGAACATTAAACTAAGATGTTAAAAGTTATTTGTTAAAGTTACAAGACTGAGACTAATTTGGTACCTTGTAATGGCTAATTGCGAGAGCGTAAGTAAGGGAGTTATAACCCGGGTGTCAATGATTTGATCCAATTTCAAATTTCAGATACATTCAAACAAAATATTGGATTAATTCAGTTATTGTACCAACCTGGCAAATTAGAAACAAATAATGGAAAAATGACGATCTTCGATGATATTTTGTTTCTGACAAACAAAATTTAGAATGGCAAGAGAATTTCTATAAAAAATAAAAATCTCTGTATGTGTTTATGTGCCCATATATGGTTGTGCTGGATGTGAATAATGTTTTTAATACTGAACTTTAATATACGAATGATGAAGATTGTTTATTTAATTCTATGACGCCGTCTTTCAGTACTATCCCACAGAACATACCACGAATAAAATGTGATAATATACATGCACACCCCAATAGGGTCTGATTTCAACCGGGCTATATTGGGCCAAACATATGGTAACATAAACGAGACAAATTAAGTAATATCACGTTAATATATACATCAATAAAAACATGTATCACAGTCGATATAATTAAAATTAAATAACAAAATTTAATGTATATTAATAGTTAAACTATAAATCCTGAAAAACAAAACTATATATACACATAACAATTTTCGATAAAAATTTGTCTCTTTTAAAAAGTTTACCGTTTTACAATATAACTCCTGTTGAGCAAATAATTGACAAAGTGACTGGCATCTGTAATAATTTGATCTAATATCTTTGAGATGCATGCACTCAATCAAAATGTGTTTAACTGTCAATTGTGACAGTGTTCACATTTTGGCTGAGGCTCTCGCTTCAAGATGAAAATGTGTATGACCAATGCGTGAGCTACACAACACAACTTCATCTCTCCTGTTAGTTTGATAGTAGATTGGCCAATCTCTTAAGTGGGGCTTAATGTGATGAAGAAGTTTGTTTGTGTCTGCAAGATTCCAAGACCGTTACCAGCGACCATAAATGAAGTTATTTATAATGTATTTAAAATCTTTATAGAGTGTTAAGAATTCGGATAAGGGAGGGGGGGATCTAAAGCAGACATGGCAGACGAGTCTGCTTGATCATTCCCTTTGATATCCATATGACTGTCCTTGCTGATGAACTCGTATGATAGTAGCAGACGATAAATACCTGTTACTAATGGGTGATAAAGCTGTTGTTACTAATTTCTTGTAACGAGGACAAAGAATCAGAACAGATAATGTGTTACAAAACTGATGAGGACTGAATGAACTCGAAGACTTGGAAAATAGCCTGGAGCTCAGCTGTTAAAAATATAAGCAGCAGGTGGTAGGCGAACAGAAATGGTCTTGGATGGCTTCATGGTAGCCCAAACTATCCGATCACCATCTTTCGAACCACCTCTATAAATGGGGGTATAATCACCATACTTAAGACCTTAGCTCTCCGAAGAGAGATTGGAACAGCCCACAGTGGAGTCCTAAAGAAAGAGGTATTCGCAATACCAGCCTCAGACAAAAGGGGTTGTATGTGAATACCAAATGATGGAATGACATTAGTTTTTAGCAGATATACATGCTCATGATATGGTTTAAATATGGTGTTGAATTAAATATGATTTTATTAAGATGCTATTTTCGTCGAATTATGAGTAGATAGATTGATTGCGTGGATCCTATAATACTGGGTCTCAAGGTGGTACGCATGGTGGTAGTTTTGAATATTATAATCAGAAATAGTACGGAATTACAATCAATGGCCGTATGCTAATTATAATAGCATTAAACATAAAATGAGTTTCTAGTATAAATAAAATAAAACCAAGTACGAACAATCCAAACCATTAGACAAAATTCGATGTCCTAAAAAACGATATAGGCAAAATCGTGACAGAGTAAAAAGGTTCTTTAAAAGTAAGTTACTCTCTGGAAATACTACAAATGATACTTATACATGTAATACAACGTATTTTGAAGAAAGGAATACAGCCATATCGAAAAGAACGGTTGCGTTTTATTTGACCAATTATATAGTACGTACATCGTAAACATGTCCTAGACTACGACAGTCTATTATATGTAGCAGGTTGGGTAATGCAATTCATGGGGAGAAACATTCTCTGGAAATGCTGATTGCATGGTAACTAATATGATAGTCACGATCATTATTGGGGCCTATAAATACGAGCTGCAAAGTGCTAGCTACCCACTTGAGCGTATTCTGTTTTTCTTACTTATTATTGTTGATTCCTGATTTACCGGTCTAGACACACGACATGCATTTCCGAGGATACTGTGCATTGTTAGTAGTTGTAGCTGTAACCTTTGCAAATCTCAGTGAGTCTGTTACTGTTCTTGAGTTGGACAAAGAGGCTTCCAAGTATACTTCGTTTAAAGAAGCATGGAAACAATCTGCTACAATGTACAAAGATTTGCCTGCAGCTTGTGCAAAATACAAAAACGTGATTGACCAAGCTGAGATGAGAATAATAATAGCTTATACCACGGACACGGCGTTTCACAGCGAATTAAATGAATATGTACGGACAGGTACAACTACAAAAGCTAGGAAGTTTCCAAAGGCCAAAGCTGCATTGTCAAAAGCATTGAAAAAACTCGGGGACTACCAACGAAATCACAAGACCAGCCGTCACACAGGCAAGCTATACCGTGCTGAATCCTACGATGATGTTTATAAGACCTATAATAAAGGTAAAGGTAAACTGGTACAATTTACCTCCACATCTATATACAAGAATGTGGCAGAAAAATATAGAGACGATCGTAGACTAGATTACTTAACAACATTCAAAAACCCACCGGCTGGCGCATACATTGGAGATTGTTCAGCTATTCCTCCGGAGTATGAGTTTTTGTTACCATTTGGTCTAGAATACACACCGGAGGAAGTAAAGGATGAGACTGCAATTTTGAATTTACAAGTAAGATGTTTTTTGGGGTAATTTTTGTTTATAAAGCGGTTGCATGTTGTTGGTACCAAGTCAATAAATAACGTTTTTATAGACAGGTATTATGGTCTGTACGCAGCCTCCCAAATCGTCTCTAATAACCAGGTTTTAATAGAACAGGGATGGAGGCAGTAGAACCTCGAATTTCGGATTTCCCTTACTTCTTAAATACAATAGATGAAAAACAATTTTGAACTAGGTATGGCATATTGATAAATAAATTGATAAAACCTTATAAACGGCTCTCGCAACGGCCGATGGAAATGTATTTCTGTACTCGGATAAAGATAAAATATTTTTGTTTTGAATTTTTCAGAAAAATGTTGCCACAACTATAGCGATACCTCGTCTTAAACGCAAGCCCGCTAAAACAAAATGCTTTCCCGCTAAAACAGAACTATTAACACGAAATGGTGTTAAATACATAGAAGATATAGAAATTGGCGACGAAGTACAAGTTATCTCCCCTGATGGTAGTGTTGGTTACAGTGAAGTATGGTGTCATGGTCATTACGATCTCAACTCGACCAATAGCTACCTGGAAATAACAACACAGACACATGTATTACCCATCAGTCATCGGCATTATCTTCCGGTTGCTGTTAACTCAACTTTCATCTATAAAATGGCACAAGATGTCAAGGTATGGTGAAATATTTACAGGGATTTAGGTTAGGATATTGAATTATTTTGTTTTATTGATTGTGTGTGAAACTTTCCCGAATTATTCATTATTGTTCAGTGAACGTAATTGTGGGCGATAAAAGTAAAATCTGATTAAGACAACATATGTATGCTTATTTTCGAATTCTTTGTATACCCCAGATATTGTGCGTTATCATGTTGGCCCATCCATCCGTCCACACGTACCTATGAAAGCGATAGGGTCTACATTTATCATACAATTCTAATGATACCTGGTACCGGCAATATATCTACGACATGAGGATTGAGTTCCGGTTTAATCCACATTGGTGATAAAGCAAACAATAGAACATTGTATTTGTGTCTATGATGTCTGCGATGCGATGAGTTCGAATTCGCTGACATGTTGCAACACAAATCATCTTGCGAATATGATAGGATTTACATTTATATATGAATATTTGGATTTCAGGTAGGGGATTTTCTGGTAACGGTTGATGGCGATGGGCAGTTGTTAGAAATGGTGCAGTATGTAAAGGAAATTGAAAGAACGGGCGCCTTTTCCCCGTTGACGAAATCCGGTCACGTTCTTATAAATGGAATCCAGGCCTCGTGTTATTCTGAGGTTTACCCGACAACAGCCCATGCAGGTTTGACCCCATTCCGAGTGGCCTATGATGTCACACCGCGAGCTATCATGGATCTCATTCTAGCACCTAATTCAAATGGTGTACCGTATATTTTTGATGCAGTTCTCAATACAATGGGTCCATTTATTGTACAGGGGTCTGCAGGTACCATGGAAACCAATGGTCTTCCAAATCTGTTCCGGCCTTTTGTACATACCATTTCATAAATATAAAAATCAATTAATTTCAAATGCCATCTGTGAAGTTTTTAATTCCTGTTTAAGATATGTGCTTTTCTCAAACCAATTATATTTTTTTCAGTTTTAATTCTAATAATGGATTGTTAATTTTATTTATGTGTCTTGAACGAAAGACGACCTTCAGACAAATTCCATCTTAGTACACCACGATCTTGACATTATCACTAATAGTTTGGTAACAAGAAGATATTTTCGTACGCCTATAACTGAGACTTAAAATTACGGAAAAGAAAAATTATAAAATTTGTATTAATTCTTAATTATTGTTTTAGACATATGCTTTTTGTATATCCCCTCGAACGCTCTTATACCAAAGTGCGTGACATATATTTATGAAACTTGCTGAAATACTTCATTAGATTAGAACTTTGTCAAAATTCAATTCATTTAATCGACCTTTATCATCATGCTGGATTTTATTAAATCAAATATTAAACATACATTATACAAGAGCTAAATCTACGTATCGCAGGTCTTTCTTTAGGCCTGAAATGTTCTCTAAATTTTAAATATATACTGGATTTGAATACATTTTGTGATGGATGATTTAACATCAAAATGGATAATGGAGACTTTGTGTTTTATCGTACCGACTTGAGTAATGATGATTGAGGCTAGGCCTACAATTCAATCGCTAATATATCGGTTCAGAGTGGATCAATTTGACTAAAATTTTTAAGCAAACCCCCCTTTACATTATCTAGTTTTTAACTATTATAGTGAGAACTGCCAGCTCTTTATCTAATCTCCCATAATGCATCTTTAAAGGAGGTCGTCCATCTAATTATGTTCAATAGCTTGAGATAGCTATAATTTTCAACATATTCCCTTTACATTATTTATTTATTAACTATTATAGTGAGAACTGTCAGCTATTTATCCAATCTTCCATAATCCCCCTTTAAGGCTAAATAAATTTAATATTAATATATTGTCATATAAAACAACTCATATAAATTCATCGACAAAGAATGTTTAAAAAAAATAAGCTTACCTTTTGCAGATAAATGAGTCAGTATTTTCTATCTTCAGAACAGAACAGCCAGACGTAAAATTACTTGTGACTTCATATTTTCAACAAGAACAATGAAAATGTCTGTGTGTATACGTCACACTAATGTCAAAGATTGCCAAATTTCCGGGTTATTTAATGGCACTTACATATCTTACCGTTTTAGTTTAATATTTTGAAAACTTGTGCACATTGATTCTTCATTATTAGGAAAAGCCTTCTCCAAATTTGAACATTTGAATGCTATCTATATTTATATAGTTATTACCTTTTATATTTTTATTTACTTAACATATATTTTTTTCGCCCTTTATTATAATATTGTGTGTACTAAGTTTTGTTTCGTATTGTATCAATATTAAAATTTGAATTTTGTATTCCTGCTTATATCAGTTTAATCCTGCTAATTTCATTTATCTGCTGCAGTTGAATAAAATTCTTTTAAAATGCTTTTTTTTAATATCTAAAAGTAGACAATTTACTTCAGACCGCACTCCATTTGAAAACAATTATAGAAAATATACCAATACATGCACGTATTTTGTTATTGGCCGGAAGCATCCGAATAATGGTGCAGACGTAATATGTCGAGGTCCATAAGGAAACTTTCAGACAAACCTCCACTTGTTTCCATAAAGTCCATCGGGCTTGGGTGGGAATGTGACCAAACCCCTGTGACGGATCCATTCACTTGAGTGTCTTGTCCTCTGGTTTTGTCTGCTGTTTGGAGCCACGGTGTTCGATCCCTGCATTGGGCGAGAAGGTTCATCGGGATTTTCCAACGTTGTTCCCCTTGTCAGTGGTACAGGGCGGAGGGCCGGAAAGGGACATCTGTCTAGTATTTCGGATGGGTCGAAAAACCGAGGCCCCGTGTATACATTGAGGCGCACGTTAAAGATCCCGTGGCAGTTAGAATTCGATATAAGAGTAGGCCATAGTGCCGCTATCCGGGCAAAATTTCCCTCATTGCACACTGAATGGCGTGTGCCCGTGTTCATTAGCCAAGTCGAGGCAGAACAGTAGGACATTAAACCTCATTTCATTTCATTTCATTTTGTCTGCTGTTTGTATTGTATTTACTTGCCGTGTACATTCCCAAGCAGTTAGTCACTTCATGAATGCCCTAGGCCCAAAACATTGTCACTATCTCTAACACGTATGGGGGAGGGGTGGAGGGCTAAAGAGGGTAATTTTCTCCTGTAATTTGGGGAACAGTTTTCGTTTTAAACTTACGTCATATTTTTTATACTTATATTTGTGCATAAGCTAGAAACGTTGGGATATACTCTTCGTGGTCCCATTTACAGTCGGTTTTACACATAATGTCTCGCCTCTTCAACCAAAGCACCTACAGAGTTTGGACAGGCACAGGGGACAAGCCATCCCCCAGTCCATCCCTGATCCATAACCCTAACCAGTTATCCATTAAGGCATCGCCTGTCGGTCTGCTATTTTAAGGGTGATATATTTCAATTCTTAGGCTAATGTCTGGTATTCGCCCCTTGTAAGAAGATGTGACTGGGCCTGGGGGCTTTTAAAACTAGCTACGGGCATTTTGATTCTGTGGAAGATTGTGCGATAGTGTGGTCTCCTCTGCGCTTTAGAAGCAATATTTAAAGAGAGGGAACTCTAATTATCAACTGGATTCAGACCACAATATCTCTTTGCCTGCCTATAATTTGTACGCTCTCTACGGAGTAACACCTGGGAATTCCTTGCTCAAAAGCTTGTATGGGGTTCACCGTGGAAACTTTGAAACCCACAAATTGGACGCAACCATACCAGTAAAAATGTAACCACAGGCCGTGTAGGCTATTCTCTTAATCTGGTTATCCTTCCGTCTCTAAACTAAAAATATTAACCAAAACAATTGACATTTAATGGGTGCATTTAATAATATAAAACGAATTAAAACAAAACCAAAAAAGGCAACGGTGCAAAACAGCTTACGTGTCCTTGGTATAATAACAAGAGAGAGAGAGAGAGCAATAAAGTTTAACGTCCACTCGACAAAAACTATGTTTCAATTTTCAGTGCTGGGAGGAAATTAGAGTGCCGGAAAAAAAACAAGAGGTTGGACAAGCGACCCTAAACCTTGTCATGTTCAAGCGGGGAATCGAAACCACTTGGCTCAATGACATACATTATGATTTCACGCGCACGCGTTAAACCACTAGACTACCATCCCCAATCCCTTAGTTTGAAATTAGTCAACTGACAGTTCTTCTACTGATTGACAAACCTGGATGTTCAAGATTGTTTATAAAAAAAAAACATAACAGAAAGCTACGAAAGAAATAAAATAGCAAAATCTATACTAATATTTGTGACTGTCGTTTGTCTGTCTGTTTGTCTGTCTGTCTGTTCGGGGTTGGCGGCTACCCTAGGTCTGCCCAGAGTCTGAAATTTGGGGTATAGGGGTAGCTCGGACCGGGGAGTAACATAGGCCAGGTGGCATTCTGCTAGTTATAAATAAAAGAAAAGGAACGCAGTTTTCTACATTTATAGAAACAACCAACTATCTACATGCAACTATTATTCAGGATTGGATTAGCATGAAGGTGGCGATAGCTCGGTTTAAAATAAACTAAAATGGTAAACATACATTATGCTACAGCTAAATCTGCCTATCACAGGCCTTCTCGATGCTTCCTATTTTCGTTATATTTGAATCTTCAACCAAATCCATACTAAAATGAAAGAATCAAATATTGAAATGAAAAGATGTAATATATAGATAACAAGTAGAAACCATTTTAGCAGTCAAAAGAAAAAGAAACGAGGGGGCGGGGGAGAAAATATTAACTACACACTAATTAAGGATTAAGTAAATCTACCCATAGATTTGGAAGAAAATGTCCCGAATCTCTTTAATTTAGGCTTATGTTTCTGGATTTCTATATGGCTTCTCGGAGAATTCTGTTTTTTCCACACTGTCAAGTTCCTGGCTAGAATTTCCGTCTTTATCAGTGATTATTTTTTACAGCTTCGGGTGGTTTGCGCGTTTGCGTCAGGGTTTCCTTCATTATAGATTTAACTTTGATTTCTGGGTAATTATTGTATTCTATGAGGACATTGTTGATGTGTTGTAGTTCATCGTCACACAATAATTTACCGCGTCTAATTAACAGTGGTTTATAGATTATCAGTAGAGTTGTTCACCAATATGTCTAGAAATGGTAGCTAGTTGTCATTTTCTAGTTCTACTGTAAGATGATCAAGAAGGTGCTGAGGATTCTTCCTTGGTTCCATGATGACAAATACGCATCGACTTTTCTCATCCATTGTATTGGTTGGAAAGGTGCAGACAAGAGGGCAGTTTCTTCAAAATGCGTCATGTACACTTCCGTTACGAGTGGACTTTTTGGAGAACCCATGGGTAACCCATGGACATGTTCATAAATATCGGCTTGCCATGAGAAGTAAGCAGAGTTAACGCAATCCTCTATGAGTTGAATTATACTATCGATTTTGAGGTCTGTAGACAATTTATGGTAAATAGCTTCAACTCGTTGTCGTAAAAGAATTACTGCTTCATCTCTTGGTATATTGGTGAATACATCAAGTAAATCATAACTAACTAACTGACCATTTTCATCATTTTGCTTAAGTCTTTCACAGACCTCTGCCAGGTCTTTAATATAGGAATTAGCGCTAGAGAGCAAGTTAACAGTCTTATTTTGATTGGGTCTTTATGAATTTTAACCTGTACTTTAGCATACGATGGCGTTGGATGGGATATGTTTAATTTCTCATATAGTTGTTTGTCTATTTCATTATTGTCGCGAAGGGTTTTTAATGTTGCTTGTAGGTTGAACTGTCTGACAAGGTGTTGTTTACTAATTAGTTCAGGTGACAGGTATCTATTATTACTGTGGCTTTACCGTTATCAGTTGCTACTATTGATACATCTTTTTACGTAAAACCACGCATTTATTGTTTGCATTCGAATATTGTGGGTGGAATAGATATGGGGCGGGTGTGTAGTATGTGGGAAGTTTTTTAATTATCGAACATCGCATTTGGTGGCTTGCTATGTTCTCACCTGTTAGATCTATTTATTGGTTATGTAACGAAGACAGTAAACAATTCGATTACACGATGGTCTAATTTTAGAGAGTATTAAGTTCCCCGGTCCGAAGGCAAAACTTAATAAGTCACTTGAGTTGGGACCATATTTGGAGTAACCAGGTTATGTACTTCGTATTGATGTACTAGATATTGCAATCTCTTGTATACGTAAACAGCTACACCCATGTCTAGTCTACCAATCAAATGGCTTAAAACATGTAGAGACAAAGATGGCAGCCCTCTTTCCCCATTGTTTCAAGTTCTGAGAAGTAGTTTCTGAGAACATTTCCTTTACATTTATCGTAAATACATAACGGTGTGGACTAGCCGAGGGAAAAGATTAGTTGAAATGCCTTTTATGTTAGCTTCCATACTACGTTTTACCTTGGAAAAATGTGTGTCATTCAACTGAATTTGCTACAGCAAAACCTATTAACTCATTTCCCCGCCAAAATCTAACGGAAAATCATAATGTTTATTATAGGTGAAAATTATGTAAGCTAGTGTGTATCTGTTATGCAGTAATTTTTTTTATTACAGGCGAAGCAAAATGTTTGCTATAGCCCCAAAAATATATATAGATATAAATAGTACGCATTGTAATTTATATATACATAGATAACAGTATATCACTGAAAATAAATTCATATATAAATACATAATTAAATAATCCTACCCCAACTCAACCCCCACCCCCTCAAAAAAAAAACAAAAAAAAAAAACAAACACACCTAAAGAAGTTTGCCATTTCTAATTTTCATTGAGTGATACAGATATTTTCCAAGATAAAGTAGTTTTATATTATTATCACCATGATTCATGAGGTTTTTTTTAGTTTGTGAAGAGATGGAAAAGAGCAAAAATATCGCGAAAAATATTTTTTACGGATGGATATATAAGCGGGACAGCACAGCAGAAAGTGAAATTTATCTTCAACAGCTTTCATATTACAACATTTGCATAATCTTTTATATCTTTCGATTTTATTATATCGTCCGGTTTCAATGCTTAGTTGAACGAAAATGACATAACTGTTTTATGCTTTACTTGAATATTCGATTTGAGGTAAGTTTCTGGTTCATGAATAGTTCTATATAATTTATAAAACCGTAGTTTACTTGAGTCGTCTACTGTGGCGAACCATGTCTGGTAAAACTGATCTTTTATACGAATTTCTATTTGATAAAATTGATATATCAAAAGCGTTTTGGTGATCCCATATATAGGAAAACCCAACGTTATTTCAATATGTGTCATCTATTTATTTGGGGATTTCGGCGGGGGACATCAGCCTCACTGTTGGCTTGTTTTTCCAAATACGGAAACAGTTATATCACGAAAAATATCCGTGATATCTTTGACAAGAATATGAATGTTCCCGTTACACAAAACAGTGTTATTTAGAGATTCATACTTGCTTATAACTACCTCGTGAAATTCATTAATTCTAGATACGTC